ACCTTCTCCTGAATCCCCAGCAGGAAAGTGTGATGTTGTTCATCTCCTTCATGAAAATTTTGAAAGATTTTTTTTTTAATCAATCAAAATAAAAAACATTATGAATTGATTTTTTAAATCAATAAAAAAAAATGTTGGTTTATACAATCATGGTTTATTTTGTATTTGGGTCCTTATATAGAAAAAAACAATCTAAGCCCTATTTAATTGTATTTCTTTACCTGAGAATTAAAATTTTAAATTTTTCATGTACCTCCTGCAATGCATTCATGGACCACTATGGGTACTAGCACCCCTAGTTGGGAATCACTGCTAAACAGCCAGAGATAACTCTGGTCACTCACTCTATTGTCTCATTAAAAGGACCACAAGTCGTGGTAGGGGGATGATAGAGAAATTAAGCTTTACTTGTATACAGTAACCCACCGACTGGAGATCACTGCAGTCAAAGCATTACCATAAGACTAATCTAACTGCCAGCCCTAGTGCTTCACTGAACAGTGAAATAACATTATCGGTGCCACCTCTGTCATCAAAATCTACCACAATTTATTTCCACATAATTAACCTCAACTTGTAATATGAATACAAATAAAACAAGGAGAAAAGCGTTCTCACAGCTTTTCCCTCGGTTAGGTTAATTGGGTTAGGTATTTTTCTGATTGTTTAGGCAATGCTATGACTTACACAATCGTAAGGAAGACTATTAATCCAACAAAAAATAAGAATTTAAAGGATATTAAAATGTACAGTCCTTGCAGGGTTTGTATGCAAAAAAATAACTTCATAAGTTAGAATTGAGAAAGCTTCCTGGAGAGGTGGCGAAACGTCTTCAAATCTTGGAAACCAAGTCCAGTGGATATTTTTTGAACTTTTACGGAACTTCATAAGTAATAAATTGCTCTGCAATACATATCAGGTAATAATATGTTCCACCAAAAAAAGTCACAAAGGGCTATTGCAAAAGAAAGAGGTGTGTAGAAAGAATGTTGTAAATATTTAAATGGAAAGTTTTTTGAAGGAAAAACGTGTGGTTGCAAGCTGGAGTAAATCTAACCTTGAGAGGAATACGAAGCAAAATCCATACAAGAGTTGGAGCGAAATAAAACGTAGAATGGCATTTTTAAGTCTCCTGAACCGGAATACATCACAGATATGTTACCTTAACAAAGGAAGGGAAACAGTAGACTGTTGCTCAGTGGAACGATGGGCTTCACGGAACAACATTTTCTTATTTTTGACATAAATTTCTCTTACCTTCTTTTCTCTCTTTTTACAAGAGTGACACGTCAGATTTAACAACCGTCCTTAACTTCAATAAATGATCATAAATGAGCCTCGTAAACCTGATGCATTCCACCTGCAGTCCACCTGTGTGCATCCATTAGAAATTAAAATCTGCATTACCACCTTGATAATGCCGTATAAGGCTATGACTTCCTACACCTCTACGAATGAACAGGTGCTCATTCATATCAATGGCATTGAAGACAAAGAAGAAAAACTTTGAGTGTTTGCAGATTAAAGTTATGATGAGAGCTTAGCAGCAGAATTAGAGGACCAGTTAAAAAAAACAGTCAGTGGGAAATAAATAAGAGCTGTAAATGCTGTGGTTGCACTGTCACAGAAGCAAAAAAAATAAATAAATAAATAAAAATTGAATACTATAAAAATGAAAATAATTTGATCCAAAAAGTACCAATGGAAGTAAGAGGTGCAGCATATAATGTAAAAGCTTAATAAGTTCACCAACTAACACATTATGCTAAATATCCTCTTTATAAACACACTACATCTCCAGACCACATCTGTTATCCCTTCATCATACTCTCCATCTCTCTCACAATGCATAAACATATATAAAACTTTTGAAAACTGTCATTTAATTAATTCAGACAGACCCAAACTCAAACATTCCACATTTTTTTGTAATAGCAAAGCCAACGAGCTGCAATGGTTGAAATAAATATAAGTCTCATAGTTAGAGGAGCTTTGCTGAACTTTCCTTCCATTTTCTGATCCAGATGTTATTTCAACAATTGCTTGATTCCTGACTTTTCATTCCTGGATATTGACATCCAAGCTGCAAGTGCTGCCACTTGTGTCCCTGCTGTGTGTGTGTATGTATGTATATATATATATATATATATATATATACACACATAGTTTTAATTTTTTATTATTTATTATGCACCTAAAAACTGTAGCCAGCAAACACTTATTCTGTATTTATAAAATCAGTTTTGAAGAGTTATAGCTGTTTTTATTTCTTTTTATATTTGTATTTTTCATTGTAAAATGCTTATTGTTGTGTTTAATATCTGTCCAGGTACAAAAGTAAAAATAGCCTTTTGGCTAATTCTGGTGCATTTACAGGAATGCTTTTTACTAGGGATGTACGATATTGGGATTTTGGCCGATATCAGATATGCCGATATTTTAAAACTCATGTAGCCAATAACCGATATCGATACCAATGTTAAAGCTGGACAAAAATAAGTAGTCATTGAA